TTTTTTTTAAAAAAAGTCATTTGCTTAAATTAATTTGCTGCTCTTGGTAGATTAGTCATTGGCAGGGCCATATGGTTCATCTCACCTTTTGTTTCTCTTGCTTTGTTATTTTTGTATCGTCTGTAGTGAGGTTTGGAAATGACATTACGTTTCTACAGACAGAAAAAAAGTAGTTAGTATTGTCCTTGAAACACAATATAGTGTTGTAAGAGAGCAGTGTTTCAATACTAATTTTCACTTTGTAGATATTAGTTCTGTATGGACAGTTTAAAATATGTACAAGTTATGTTGGAGAAGATATTGCACCAAGCACTGAGATACAACACATTCATTGGTGCATATATTCTGAAACTGGCTAAGCCAAAGGAAGTTGGCTGTCCTTAATAACTGTGTTCTGATGTAAAGAATGCTCTACATTTTTCATGTCATCTGCTGTATCTAAGTGAAACTGTGTGTCATTTCAGTAAAACTTAAGTTTGCACTGCATGAGTTGGCCACCAAGTTTGAAATCACACACTGTTAACATGTTCACGTTACAAATGACCTGCTGTTTTGGCAGCAGTGACATTATATGACATGATTTTTTCCCTCCCCTTTCTTTCAGTTATGTGCATGGATGCAAAGATAAATTTTGACAGTAATTCAGCCTATCGTCAGAAGAAGATCTTTGATATGCAAGATTGGACACAGGAAGATCAGAGAGACAGGGAGGCGGCAAAAGCTGATCTCAACTATATAGGACTAGATGGAAACATAGGCTGTTTAGGTATGTCCTGTGTAATGAATGTTAAATGACTTTTAATTGATTTGTAAACTGAGTTTCTAAATGTTATCTTTTTTGTTATAGTCAATGGTGCTGGTTTAGCTATGGCCACAATGGATATAATTAAACTTCATGGAGGAACTCCAGCAAACTTCCTTGATGTTGGCGGTGGTGCTACAGTGCAGCAAGTAACAGAAGCCTTTAAACTTATTACCTCTGATAAAAAGGTGAGGGAAGAATAGCCATGTCAAGGTCCTATATGGTAGAAAACCAAGCTGTGTTATAAATTTACTGCTCAGTAGGTGTTCTTTAGAAATTAAGCTTTACAAACAGAGAGTTAAACAGGGAAAAACATTGAGATGTTAGCTAAAACTCGACACAGAGGAAGAAGGCTTGGAAACATTCTGAAGTTTTTTCTCTCCTTTTTGAAAGATATTCTTTTGTTGAATATTAAGTAGACCATTTTTATCCTCCCACTCCCCCTATTGAAATGACAGCTGCATTTGAATCTTTCCCAGAAATCCTTTTGAATCTGAAATTCCTTCCACCTGCTGTTTAAGCAGAAGCCATTGTTCACATGGATTTCCATGCTTTGC